AGTGTGCCTGACTTGTTGGTGTTGCCTTGTGCTTCACTGCGTGATTGCTGCATTGAATGTCCGCTTGCCATGTAGTTCCTTGCAGTAGTCTTTGGCGTTGAGCAGCCATGTTGCCTCTACAGTGTTGCCTGGTGCTTCGCTGGGTGGTTGCCCGCTGCTATGTTCCGTTTGCAGGACAGTCTGCCTTCAACAAGGGTCAAAGGGTTTATAACCCAAACCATCAAATACGGAGATTCCGCAGATTGTCGAGGGTTCAGCCTCCTGATGAGTCGGTGCAACTCCGACAAAACAATCTATCATCATCAGTCTTTATTTTTTTCAGTTTTCTTGGTTTTGGTATTTGCCTTGTTTCGTTGGTTATTGCTGTTTCCCTGCCTTATGTGCTGGTGTGTTGTCTTCCCTCCCGCCTCCCCAGTGCCCTCCGACCTTTGTGTTGTCTTAATGCTTTTTGGTACTTGCCTTGTCCACTGGTTGTTGTTGTTTCCCTACCTTATGTGCTTGTGCGTTGTCTGCCGTCCCGCCTCCCCCGTGCCCTCCAACCTATGTGTTGTTGCAAGTTTCTTGCTTCCCCCGTGTGCCTTCCAGCACATGTTGTCGTTTCTTGCTTCCCCCAACATTCGAGTAGATGGCGTTCTTCGCCACTACAGATAAAATCTACCATACTTGCGAATGTCACCTAAGCTAGAGGTGTGCCGATGACCTGTCATCGGAGATCGTACCTGGCATAGTGTAACTTGCCATGGGGTGCATTGAAGCACACACATCAAAACACACACACACACACACACACACACACACACACACACACACACACACACACTGGAGAGAGAGAAAGAGAGCCCTGCAGCACGCAGCGTGTCAGTTACCGGGAGCAGAAGGGCAGTCGCCAACCTTGAGAAAAAAAGGTAATGTTCTATTCAAATACAAAAGTTCTTTCTTTTTGAGAAGGCGCCCAGGCACGTGCCAGAAAAAGACTCAGGCATGATTGGAATGTTACGATGTTTATGCAAGAAATCCGCCTGAATACTTCGCTGAGGCACTGCGCCTGTGCATGTGTACCAATGATGACGTCTTGTTTTGTTGTACGCAAGCGTTCCTGATCGCCCAGACGGCTGCCAGAATAGCCGCCCGGACTAAGTCGGAAACATAGAGGCAGCTATCCACATCCGTCGTCACTTTTGCCCCGAGTAAAACATCCGCAGCCAAGTCGGAGGACAAAAGAAGAGGGGAGGGGCCAAGGCACAAAATTTTATGTGGCCATAAATGGCAAAACCCCTGCTTGCACTTGATGAGAAAAAGCTCCTCGTGATAGGCACATACTAGACAGAGCTCCTCGTGTCATCCATTGTCTCCTGAAAGGGCCGAAAGCCCCTGGCGCATCTTGCCATGGGAAAAGGGGAACCTCTCTCAGACAAAACGAAGTCATTGTTGAAAAGAGGCTGAGCCAGTATCTGAGAAAAGTTATGGGGCACAACTGTGGCTTAAACCACTCGTACCTTTGACGGTTGGGAAAATAGGGAGCCTCGGGTGGGCCTCCGATCTTTTAGGAGGCCGAAACGAAATGACGACTGCCGATAAGATGTATCAACGGGGGCCGTCGTCGGGCCGGGCCCCTGACTTTTTAGGAGTTTATCCAACCGTCAAAGGTACTAGCGGCTTAAATCGAATTTTCTTCCAGAAGAATAGAGATTTAGGCCATGTTGAATGCCGTGGAATACTACCGTCTTCCCCCGAACATAACGCACCCTAAAAATGAGTGTATACGAGTTATATTTCCGGGCAGATACAGCCAAAATGAGAGTGCGTTGTGTTCGGCGGAAGACCGTAGTTAGGAGAGGTGGGTGCGTAAAAAAGGCAGTCCAGACTGCAAACTGAGGAAGTTGCCGCATGCGGGAGAGGAGAGCATCCCCAAGATTTGCTTCCACACCTCGTCATCGTCCACCATTAGCAGCCATGTAATGTTCCAGCAGTGAGGGGCAGCTACTTGAAAAGCAGAGTCTAGAAAAGATAGCCCACGTTCCTTCCTGCAATTTTAACACCCTTCCAATGACCAATTTGGGCCAAAGGGGAAAAACTGGTATAACTTACAACGAAAATGCCTCGAGGATATAAACACAAACCGACGGGCTGCAGAAAAAAAAGGACCTTATGGCCCTGGCTCCGTATCCATTCTGGGAAGCAACAGTCCAGTTTCTATTCCCCCCGAAAGTCACACAATTACATCAGTTACACCACCCTCACACTTCCTTCCGTCAGGCCGCAAGGACCCCTTGGCCAGCATTGATCATTCCGAGAGGGAGGATGGGCTGTCAGCTTGCCATGATCTCTTGTTCACTCCTCTCACACCCTGTGCCGGCCCTGTCCGATTTAACTGTGGAACCAAGAGATATGCAGAATCAGTTCCGGGGGGAGAGGTCGGTGCGCTGTGCCCTGGAGTCCTTGCAGAGGCAAGTTTATTTTGAGGTTCCCAGCTTGGGAACAAGAATTATGTTCGATCCCAGTTCTTCCACTGAAGTTAAAACCCCTTCCCTGAGGCGATCTTTCCATGCAGCAGCCATTCCTTGAAAACTGTGTTCCTTTTATATCCGGCCTTCAACCACCAGTGCGTTCCCCATGTATCGGCCACTGGCCCCTCACCACAACTTTCGGAGGCCCGAAACGCGACAACGGCCTCCGATTGAAATCTATCAATGGCGTCCCAGCCCCAAATGTTGCGTCTGTTGACGAGCTGCATCTCCAAAAAATAGCGGGGACTCATACTGGTGTTTTATTTATTGACTAATTATCGCATAGGTTGGGCTTCAAAGAATTAGCCTTTGAAAAAAAATAAAAAATAAAAAATATTATCGCATAGAAGATCTTGTTTGTATGGATAGAGTATGGTTTACTAACGACAAAGATATTCTACTCGTCGAATAAACCACCGGTACCTTTCTCAGCTATTGATGCGGAGCCCAAAAATGCCCTGCGCGCCAATTTTTGCTGAGCCTGGACGGGGCAGGTACCGGCAGGAGAAATTTGTGGGCTGGCACCGGTACTGCCCATTTTGGTGGACTTGCTGCCAGCAGCTGGAGGGAAACTTGGCAGTAGGTTTCTTGGTTTCACTTGTACACCACCCCAGGCCTGGCCATAAGTGCAGTCAGATACATACTAATGGTTCAAAAGGGGGGTGCCCCCTAACCTAATTGTTTCAGTCTGATTATCGAGGATTTAAACGCATAAAATCTGTTGATCAGAAGGCACATGCGTGTAGCATTCAGCCACCACTAAAAAAGTAGCAAACGATGCAAACACTGGCTGCTAATGTGGAATTTCTTCGTCCTGTTTAAATCTTAGACAGGGCGATCTTTGCTTTGATGGATGCTCTGGCGAGTAATGCAGATGGAGGTGTGAAGAAGCTGGATCTATCCAACAATCATTTGGATTTTCGGTCTGGGGGCGCTATTGCCAATATGCTTGCAAAGAGCAAAAAGCTGCAGGTGCGATTGCCATCAGCACTATAACGATAATAAAAAGGCCTGAAAGGCAATCCTGTCCAAATTTCACAGGTCACTGAATTCAATGAATTGGTTGGGCTTAAAAGAATTAGCCTTTCAAAAAAAAAAAAAAAAAAAAGCCATTTCAGTTTTGTTGTCGAGAGAAAGTTTGCACTGATGTTCTGCGATGTACGAATCCTGTGGCTTGCACAGCCTTGCAGGTGTATTCTGCTCCATCACCAAAAACTCTCTTTAAAAAAAAAGTGCAACGGCCTTGAGAAGTTGAGACATCATTATCGAGCTGACCGGCCCGTCCCCCGGTAGTTCTGAATTGACCTGAGGTATTTTAGTCGTCTTGCTCTCAGTGGCGTTCGAACTCAGCACCTGGTCTGTATTTCAACAGTTCGTTCAGGGGGGATGTACCAACTGCGCCAAAAACTCTCCTCGTTGTAGCATGCATGCTGCCAGTTTCTGACTCACACTGGGGATTAAAGCTTTCTTTCTTTTTTCTTTTTCTTTTTTTCTTTTTTTTTTTCCCAATAAACCCCCCCGCTAGTGTTAGTGGTGCTGTTAAGAGCAGACACCACTAGCACCTGGGACGGCTCCATCTATTGGTGGGGAGCACCACCTGCTGGAAAACGGGTCCAGCATCCCTTATACAGATTGAGTTTGCGCTCTGTGGGCAAAGAATCAGAAATGCTCGAGGGGGGTTCCTGCCAGCATTCATTACCCTGGGGCCCAGGGGATTGACTGAGCAGGATAGAGGAAGGAGGGGGGATCCCTTCACCTTGAACTCAGTGCCAGATTTCTGCTGCTACCTGCTAATTCCTCCCTTTCCAAAGGGAGGGATGGACGGTAGGACATGGGGGATTGAAGCTTTTCCCATGTGAAAGAGCAAAATTCGGTCAAATCAAGAAGTTTTCATTTCCCTGCAGCCCTAAAACCATCAGTATACTTCGTAAAGTCGTGCCCGTAAACAAGCCAGGATTTTAGGAAAGGTACGGGCCACTACAGGAGCGCCCAAATTCATCTGACTAGAAACATTTCTACTCAATTATTTTCCCATGAACGATAGCTTGGCCAAGTACTGGTGGTTTAAGCCCTGGACAATCCTGTAGTCCATACAAACACTAAACCCTGTGAGGTCCTCTGTGGCGATGCAGCGGCCCGTCAACATACTCCCACCTAAGGCTTCCAGTGTCTATAATGTTCACGGTCGGGTGCTTACGCATGGGTGAGGGGCGGTACATCATAGGAACTGAACCGACGGCGCTGACGCTCCCCAGAACAAATATGAGGCCATGGGCTATAAAAAGTAACAAGAACTACCGTCTTCACCCGAATAGAACGCCCGGTCACTTTTCAGTCGAGATACAGCTGTAATAACCGGGCGTTCTATTCGGGTGAAGACGGTAGGAGGATCAGATAGGAGCAACTAGGGTTTAGGGTTTAAGCGCAGGAGGATGAGGCACACGACTTATTCTCGCAGTGGTGCTTCTTGCTCGGGTCCCATGGGGTCTCGTCAAAAGCATAACACTGGGTAAAGCTCCCGAATCCGGTCTTTATGGGGGGTGGCAGGCCCCTCCTTTCCAAGTAACTTTTGAGAGAGTTTTCTTTCTTTTTGGAAAAAAAAAAGACAACAAAAGCACATTTCATTTCCCCCTCCTCCCAGACTGCAGGGTCAATTATCTGAGTGCACAGTCCACAGACCACAATCTTCCCCCCGACCACAACCCACCCTCGTCATGACTGCATCGTGATGGTGTTTTGTGTTCCAATGTGGATGATAGGCAGATATACCACCTCCTCTGTTGTATTGCTTTTGAAAATTTTGGATTTGAACGACGTTTGCATTTTTAGATATGAATGACGTTCGCATTTGAAATGCGCCCTGCTGTCAGTCGTCAGTCGGGAAACGAAGTGAGTGAGGCTTGGTCCTGAAGGGCTTATTATTATTATTTTTTTTCCCCGACCATTTCTCGACATATGTGTGTCGATCCTTGAGCAGGGGCCATGCTAATCTTCTTTCTCTGTATCGTTCAAAATTTTCACGGATGTCCTGAAGGACAGCTTCTGATTTATCCTTTCCTCTTTTTTTTCCCAGCTTCTGATATAGCTAAAAAAACTGCTCAATTCTTTGCAAAAGTATAATTCTGGAGTATCACAATCTTCTGGTGCATTGCTGTGTGGCTCTGTTAACTTAAACCACACAATCTTAAATGACAATGAAAATGAAAAAGATGAGGGCATATGGTGGAACCGGTGAACTGTCCAAATCTCTTTTCGAATGGGGCCAAGGGCTCGTAGTACCTGTATTTACAGCAGCAGCCTACCGGTAGCAATAGGCGTGCAGCGCAGCGCTGGACTGGTTGTGTATACACAGTCAGCGGCAGACGGGAAGGAGCCCAAGTCGATGGACTCGAAAGAGCACATCGCATACTTCAAGTTGAGCAGTACGAATCCGTCGGCAGTCGGGCGAGTCTGTCAGAGCCTCTCTCTTCCAATGTGCTATGCTGCCCGGCCGTAAGAGTCCGAACCACCATCGACATGATCTTGCCAGGGCCCGCCAGCCTTTTCCGTCCGGTAGAGCCAAACCTCGGTTTTGCGGCCCGTTAACTTGCGCATTGGAACAACGCACCAGGAAAACGGACTGGTTGTTCAAACTTACCCGCTGTGGCATGGCCAGCTGAGCTCAGCGAGACACATTAATTGTACCAACTGTGTAATGACCTGCAAAATTGCCGACTGAGAAATCTGCTGTTTCTGAGTATTGCTGCTGACTGGACTGATTTGCTGAGATTTCCGTGTCCTGCTGTGCGCTTTGCTGTGCTTTGCTGAGTGCATGTGTGCAGTCTCATTACTTGCTGATATCTGTGTTCCGTGTGCTTACCCGCTTGTCTGAGTGCTGGTGTGTGTATGCGGAAGACTCCAGGGGTGGAATGTGGCATGGCGGTAGTAGTGGGAGAGGCATAGTCGCCTTCTGTTTTTTTTTGTTTTTTTTTTTTGAAGAAGAAGAAACATCAGCGAGGGTGTGGGGAGGGTGCTTTCAACCTCGGAGCTAGGCTCCAATTGTCCGCCATAGCCACCGGCACAGCCTCGGTGTAGAAGAAGGTGTAGGATGGCTATGGTAGACTTCTTGAGTGGCTGCCAGGAAGGGGAGGATTTGGATATTTATTGTGGTTCATTCATTCATTCATTCATTGTTGTTGTTATTATTTTCGTAATAAGGATGCTGGGAGATAAACTGGAGGAGCAGGACGGGATGTGGGACGAGTGACATTGGTTCTTGCTTGCATTCATCATCTTCTTCTTCTTCTTCTTCTTCTTCTTCTTCTTCTTCCATTCTCCATCCTTCCTCCTCCTTGGTCTATCTCTTTCCAATCTTTATCCTTTCAGTTGCAATTGAACGGAATCGTCTTTTCTTTTTCTTTCTTTGCATTTTCATACGAACACAAGATTTTGAGTTTTAATCGATATTTGTGAAGTTGATTATCCTTCTCGAAAAGATAGATTTGAAGTGGTGTATAACTTACCGAGTATTCAGTATAACTCACGTCTTTGTGTACATACACATGTAGACGAAATAACCCAGGATTATAACAATTGGTATAAGATCGTGACTGACTTGCGGGCGAGAGGTTGTCGTGTCGCCCTAACCCTAATCCGAGTTGATTAGCGCAAACGAAACTCGAATTAGGGTATAGGATTAGTCAGGACATGGGGTGGCGAGGTGTGTGGGAGCTACGTCCACCTTGATTAGGGCTTGCAAGACCGGACATCGACCCTACCCAGGTTTGGAAGCGAATGTATGGTGGGGTGGCCCGAGACAGAGGGTATAAGTTTGAAACGACCTTGGAGGGGAGAGTGAGAGTGAGTGGTGACTCACACCTGGATTATGAGCATGAGGACTCTGAGGAGGACATTGAGATTCTCCTTAAGAAGGTGAACTTGGAGATGTGAGTGGATATGGCTGTGCGCCGTATATCTACAAGTTGCTGATTGGTCTTCAACATCGACGTGGGATGTCGTGGTGCACTTGGGTGTAGAGTAGACCCTCCAAGCGATAGCTACACTAGAGTAGAGATTGTAGATTGGGTCAGGAGGGTGCATGAGAGTGGGAGGCGAGTTGTTCTTCATCCCAAGACTCCGGCCAGCACAGGTAAGTGCCATGTAACTGGGGGAATACCCACGGTTGAGTGCATGTTGCTTCAAGTTAATTGCTTTGTGTGTATGCGTCCAGGTTCTTTTCCTACTCTTCTATGATTCTGACTGGTGTGGATGCGCTTGTGGACTGCTCTCTCTCTCTCTCTCTCTCTCTCTCTCTCTCTCTCTCTCTCTCTCTCTCTCTCTCTCTAGTGGGATGGATGTGGAGTATCTCGATTTGCAATGCTTCTTCCTTCAATAGTGTCTCGATTCGCAATGCATCTTCCTTCAATAGTGTCTCGATTCGCAATGCTTCTTCCTTCAATAGTGTCTCGATTCGCAATGCATCTTCCTTCAATAGTGTCTCGATTCGCAATGCTTATTCTTTCAAGAGTGCTTTCTTTCATATTCCATTCCGACTTCGATTGTAGCTGAGTGGGGATCATCTGATGCTTTGTCTTTCCCCTTTCAGTTTTTCAGGGCTAGACTTGGGATGCGCTCAGTTGAGATCTCGTTCTCCCGGAGGAAAGTCTCCTTCCTTTATGGAACTGGGTAGGGTTGCCGGCCAACCTGGGGGCATGCATACCACCTAGCGGGACCGCATATCAGTGAGAAGAGATTTACTTGCTTGCTACCAGCTCTAGTGCTGTTAGGCGTCACCCTGTAGGACCGTCGCTCGACTCGCATGCTTTACTCCCTTGACTCCCCATTGCTTCCCTGATGGGATCGGGCGGAAGGAGGGACAATCTATATAGGATGAGTCATTCATCTTCCAAGTGGATCTTGGTTGTGTTTTCTCACAAACACTGACTCTAGGTCCGTCGCTCGACTCGCAATTGAGGGGATAGCTCACCTTTCCCGCATTTCATTCTGACCCCCGCAGAAAGGAAACAGGAGACGACTGCAGACTAAACAAGTAAAAACCTTCACTAAGAGGTAGGGGAAGGAATAGGGCACAAGACACACCGAGCGCAGTCCCGTCCAACCCGGCCTCCGCAGCAGATCTCGAAGGACGCACAAGTAAATCATACAGCGTGGCATGCCGCAGAGGAGCAATGCAGGGTGCCATGGGCTTACATTCTTTTGTGATAACAGCGGAAAAATAGGAACACGGTGGAGCAGAGTTAAATCCATCCTTCCTTCCTTCCTTCCTTGGAAGTAATCAATGCCACTGCCTCAAGGTCCTTCATCCATAACGGGAGGAAGCGTTGAGTGAGCCCTTCTGTAAGGGACGAGCGACCCGTATTTCCATCCAAAATTGAATTTATCAGCTTCTTCTTTTGAACAAAAAAACAAGTGTGGTGTCACTGCCATCCCTCTTTTCAAGTCCATGCTGTGGGTGATAATTGATCTGCACTTCAGTGTGATCCCATGCCGATCTGACCCGACCCATGTGGGTGAGAAAGTTACGCACACGTAACTATCAAGCAACAGGTCCTGGGTTCAAATCCTGATGGAATCCCCCTTTGACAACAATGAAGGACTGCATGAACTGATACGATGCGGTTGCTTTTTCTCCCCGTGTCACTGTCTGGTCTGTTTCATCGCTTTGTGTGCGCCTGTTTTCTGAAATCATGTAGACACTGCTACTGAAGGGAAATCGTCTGCAAAACAATGGCTTGCGGCCAATCGTCACGGTGTTGATTGGTTCGAATTATACCTTGTGTCATCTTGACCTCAGCTTCACAGGAGTAACTGATACACTGTGTCCAGTAAGTGAATTCAGCTTTGAAGTTTGAAGTTTGAATTGTGTATCCCAATTCCAATTCAGGTGACTATCTCATCTTTTGATTCTTTTCTTGTTTTAAAGAAAAGAAAGGGGTAGCCCCTAACGTTATCGTATCCATCTGGTTCATCGAATCGACCAAGATTTGGACTCCTGATCCGTTTATTAAGAGTCACATATGTGTACCACTCAGCCACATGGGCTGGGAGGTGACCATCTCATCTCTCTCCTGCTAGAGGGGAAAAACAACGGACAGACCAAACCAAATATAGCTTGCATTCCCTTTTTTCCTCCGTGTTCTGTTTTTTTTTCCAATTCCAGACTGGCAACGTCAGTCTAGAGGGCCTGGCCTCAAGGCGCGAGCGAACATATCTACAACCCTCTTCTGGAGCACCAAGCCTGGCCTCAAGGCGCGAACATATTGACAACCCTCTTCTGGAGCACCAACCACTCTGTACGACAACTAGGAAAACATCTCAAGTCCAAGTGTTATCCAGACTGCGCCTCATCACCATGGGCACAGCACAGGAGTATACGGTGGCAGTACACACTACCGTCTTCCCCCAACTAGAATGCTCAGTCATGAGTCTGAGGTATCAGGTCCGGCAGGCAGGCAGGCAGTCGTACTAGGAGCTGAGGAGATCCGTCCTGAGGGGGTGGGGGGGGGGAAGGGTGTTAAATGAGGAGGTGATTCCGGAAGGGGGAAGGACTGCCTGCGGACCACTGCAAAGGTGTTCCACTGTGAGGATGTGTACAAGGAGGAGGAGAAGAGGGGGGGGCGGGGGGAGAGGAGGAGGGGGAGAATGTGGCAGACGGGGCTGCGTCCGACCTGGAACAGATGCGGGGGAAGCTCGTAGCGACTTCGGGACGGGCTCAGATGGAGGGGGAGGTGTAGTCGGGGGGGTGGGGCGATTTCGATAAGGGGGGGGATAAACGAGGGAGTTAGTTGTGATTGTGGAATTGTGAGGCGGGCTCCGGTGTATGCATGGACGTAATTTGACGAGACTTGGAATTCTTCTTTTTTTTTTTTTTTTGGTGAAGATTCTACATCTACGACAGTTTGACTTGACAAGCATGAGACATGACGAGTACTGTGAAGTGTGGGGTGGCGATAGAAGTGGTTACCCGAGTGAAGTACTTTGGATGTGAGCATGATCGGTGCATGGATGCGGAAGTGAGGGTGACGTCAGAGGAGGCACTAAAGGTGCCTGGATAGTATAGTAGCACTTGTGGGGCCTTTCTTGCATGGCTTGTGTTCCTGATCCACCTAGGCCCTAGGGAGGTTGGACACGTCGACACATGCTCGGAGATTTATCGGGGTGAAAGCCTTACGCTGTTGCAGAAGCATGATCTGGTGACTTGAAAGCAAGAGCACTTTCTTGAGGGATGAGGCGTAACAAGCGTGGAACAATATTGAGGATGGGAGAGTCTAGGATCCACTAAGCAACACGGAATCACCACACCCATAGGCCCCCTGCAATAAGAGAGGATGTAGGTAGAGAGGGTAGAGAACCTGCAGACAGCGGAAGATATGGGGACGCTGGCTGAAGCCGGTTTCCAGCACAAGCCAAATCTGGGTAATGGCCCCAGCACTGTCCGGGTTGAGATGTTGCGGAATTCCTGGCCTCGTTGATTGTTCGTATAATAAAAACTGCAGCTTTCTTTTTTTTTTTTTTTTTTTTTCCTTTTTTTTTTCAGACCTTCCTGCGGGAATGGCAATGACCCAGGTTTAAATCCAGCACAGAAACATGCATCCAAAGTCTGAGTCAAGGCTACCGGTAGGCATGCGAAATAGGACTGTAGGGTCCCCGAGTTCGTCAGAATGGCCCTCAATCCCACATAATATGGTCCAAGTCCTTCTGACAGTAAAGGTCCTTTGGAATGAAGACCCCTACAGAGTCAAAGGATGGGGTAAACCAGACGAGAAAAGTCAAAGTCAAAGGTTAATAGCTTTCGGCGCAGCAAAGTTCAGGGGTCAACAGTTGAAACCCGGACAGACATGTCTAAGGGTCGTAACCTTTGGACAGGTCAAAGTTCTAGGGTCCAAAGGTCAAAGTTCTAGGGTCCAAAGGTCAAAGTTCTAGGGTCCAAAGGTCATAGTTCTAGGGTCCAAAAGATCACTTCACTGACTCTGGAGATGCATCAGAATGTCCCTTCGTGAATAGGTATTTGGGTCAAGGGTCAAAATGAAGCACTTCAGGCCTCTAGAATCACAAGTGGACTCTAGGAAAGTCAACAGAAAAGCCGTACCCACGCACATATATATATCGTCACATCACTACAAACTAAAAGAGCGCACTTTGCGGAACAAAGAATAAAAGCAAAAAACGGGCACAGTGATAACATGCAAAAATAAAAATATAAAGAAAAACAAAAAGAAAAAACAAGGGCAGATTGAAACCATTAAATTTCTCATT